GAAAAAGCTGCTAACTTATTTGAACGCCACAAAAGGCGACATCACCAATATGACCATGCGGAGGGACGCGAAGAAACCGCTTACACTACCATTCTATCAGAGAAAAAACGAGAAAAGCAGCGTTACAAAACTAAGCGACGTTATTTATCGGAAAATCGTGTGGGTTCACTCGAGACAAGCCCAGTCCAACGGCTTGGAAACTCATCAGGTGATGATATTGCAACAGAATCTGTAGATGGTGATACAGTATCTGTACCTGGTGCTTATCAAAACTACGAGCGTGCTGAAGCTTACAATCCACATAATAACTACCATCGTAATAAGCTGTTACATCAAAAGAGCTTCTATGTTGATCCCGAGCCTAGCCATTCAAAAGGTGTGCATCACTTACAGACCACTGAAGCTATTAACAAAGAAATTATACGGACATTACAACCATCGGAAAAGTCTTCAGATACTGGTAGTATTGGTTCATTTCTTTCCATGGCATCTGTAAAAGCATTTCCAAAGAATACTCTGCCGGAACCACTAAATCGCGTCTTAGATCCAGTTTTTGTTACATATTATGATAATGTGGAGAACACAGTGCCCACATCTGGTAAATCACATAAGTCACAACGTCGACAACGTAGCCAAAAAGATTCGCTGGATGGTACAACTATTGCAACCATTGAAAGTTTTCCAATACCGAAAGCACCAATGAAAACTCAAAGATTAACCTCCCAAAGTGATAATGCCGATCCTGGTGTTGTGGGTCCGATTGTTTGGGAGAGACATAAGAAATCAATGAGTGGCGATAAAGAAACTGGTAATGATAAAAACAGTGCGCCAAGTCTAGAGCAACGTGCACGATTTTAGTAATTTTTTACTGAAGTAGTTGAAAGTAGTACAAATTTAGTAATTGCAAATCGAGTAGCCTAAACTAACTATCTCACTTTTATTCGTAAATTGTACATAAGCAACTCTCAAATACAACGGAATTTCAACACTCAACTTCCTTTTGTCTTCTTCCCATTCCTTTCGTTTTCTTTTACATTTTTTTCAACTTAAACTTAGACGATGGAGTTTATGCAGGTTCGAATTTTAGCCCGATTCGTGATCCTGCTGCTATACGAAATCATTACGGAGATTTACTCGAAGGCGCCATGCAAATGTATACCAGCCACGATGATTTGCCCATGCCATTACCCACAAGAGATTTCACTAATAATCGCAAGCCTACTAAACGTGAGAATCGTGGCTCTTCCGCTGGTATACCAAGGTTTGTTTTTCGTTCAAGTTAAATATATTAGTTAAATATATTATTATTTTTTAGTTATAGTAGCAGACCGCATAGTTTTGATATACGTCCATCCACCGCACAACCAAAAACAACGCCTAAATCAAATCAATCAACACAGCCACCATCACCGACCACAGGCGCTTGGGGTGGCAGTCTTTATGATTCACACTCTACACTGGTACGTCCAATGAGTGCTGGTCCAATACAGTATCCAATGTCAAAAAATATGGGCTCTGGTTTGAAATCGAAAGCAAAACGTACAGATTCTTCAGCTGCACCGATTATTGAGGCAATTCAAAATGAGCTACGCAGATTCAAAGAAGATAAAAAATGAAAAATTTAATTTTAAGCAATTTAATGCATTTAATAGTTCTTAGTCGCATAAAATTTTAATATTTTATTACATGTTTGTAGATATTAAAGATACAAATAGAAAGAAATCCAAAAAAATGAGATAGTGTACTAAATTGAAAACAGGAACTAAGGCTTTCGTAGTCATCAATAATCTAAGGTTAGTTCAGTACGTGGAAATGGGGGTTGAATTTCATGTCTTTAATGTCTTTGTCAATTAATATGACAACACTATATCAGTTGGGTATATAATGCAAAGCTGATTACTGTATGACACAAAGATGACACAATTCTATAAGCTACACATGTTAGACCAGGTTAGTGCCTTGTATATAGTGGTCATGTTTCATATCTATGGGAAAAGTGAAGAGAACTGTAAGTTTCTATCAATTGAGACATACTTTATATAATGTTCTATAAATAATTTGGATCCTTTAATTTGTTTTCCAATATTCCCCGGTCAAGGATACCGCACCGGATAGCGCAGAAGTTTCGAGTTTCATCTCAGTACCTTTCCAGCAATGTTGCTGCTAGGCTTTCTGAGAGTGTGCTCTATCCAGCTCCATTAACGATTATAAATTTATTCTGTTGCTCTAGTTTGGCCTGTCCGATCCTATAAAATTATATTGAGACATACTAGATACAGAACAGAATAAGAAATAAAGGGGATACTGGCTTTCAAAGAACGAAACGCTGTTAGCACTATTGATTCGTTGTGTTATTTGCCGATCCCAACTGAACAGTGAAACTTCTAAAATGTCAGCTGTTGAGAACATTCTTAATAGATTAGATTAATAATAATTACTTCTGAATGAGGCATTTATATATACAGGGCTAGGCGATTGAAGTGTTACCAACTACACACCGGTATACCTGTCAGACTGATATTGCCAACTAAGTGAAATTCATACGAACGACAGCTGTTTACATTAAGACCGAAAAGTTTTCGGAAATTCTCATTTAAAATTCGCGCGCTGTATATTTTTCGATATTTTAAGTTTATGTAGTTTGGCAGCACTGTCCTTAATTACTATGCCAAAAATGAGCGCGATCTGTCAGACAGTTCGTTTACGGCAGCTGTTGAAACCAGTTCACCTCAGTAGGGCGTTGCGAAAAAAACAATGGAAAAAAATATTGAACAAAGAGTTTGCATCAAATTTTGTGTTTCGAACGAAATTTCGTGTGCAGAATCGTTGCGAATGCTACAAAAGGCTTATGGGGAATCAGTTTTATCGAAAACTCAAGTTTATGAGTGGTACAAAGCCTTCCAGGACGGTCGTACGACCGTCGAAGACATTTCGCAACGCACTACTGAGGTGAACTGGTTTCAACAGCTGCCGTAAACGAACTGTCTGACAGATCGAGCTCATTTTTGGCATAGTAATTAAGGACAGTGCTGCCAAACTACATAAACTTAAAATATCGAAAAATATACAGCGCGCGAATTTTAAATGAGAATTTCCGAAAACTTTTCAGTCTTAATGTATATCGTTTATAAGCTACCACAGGAATTTGTGTCTAAGTTGTATAGAACAAAAGTTAATTGAAATACAATTCAAATGTAATAGTGTGATTGCGTTATATTTCGTTGGAAAACCATAACCAACGATTGTTCGTGAGCTCAAACACCTCAAATTGAATAAAATATTTGTGTATTGTACCATAAATCATTATAATATTATAGGCAGCGTCATCAAACGCTATGGCCACCTGAAATATCACAGCAATGTCACTTGAAATCCGACGCATAATCCAAAATGAGCTAAAGGTAAAGCCTTACAAGTTCCAAAAAGCACAAGATCTTATACCAAAGCAACAAAAGGTTAGACTCGAATCAGAAAAGGAGTTATTACTCTTGCACAAACGTGTCGAATTTTCAAATATTATGTTCTCTGATAAGAAAAAATTTCCTCATTGAGCAATTCATAAACTCTTAAAATTATCGTGTTTAGTTAACTAAATGCACTGTCAAAAATTTAAGACTACGAATGACTACTCGAAGTAATTTTCCATCTCAAGTAATGATATAGACAGCTGCGACCGCCGATGAACGCTCTCCAATCGTTTACATCAAACCTGGTATCAAAGTTAGTGCGAGATATTATCGGAAAAATGTTTTGAAAGTTGCTTTAGAGCCGTGGGCATGCAAATATTTAAGTCGTAGGCCATGGACGTTCCAACACGACTCGGTACCATCTTATTAGGCTCATGTGAACTAAAAAAAGTTGAAAAATCATGTTTCAAACTTTATTTCGTTTACACAATGACTTTTATTTACAACTTGTATTTTATAATTTTTTTCCTTTTTGTCCTTCATAACCTGGATGTAGGGATCCTCTGCTGGAGTTGAGGCGCCTTCCTGAACTTAATCCCTCAACGAAATCATGGTTTTCTTCTTACTCAACTTTCATTCCTCTAAGTGCTACTGCAAATACACTTTTCGTTGCCTCATCTTCATCTATATTCACAACATGACCAAGTCAGCGAAGCCGAGAGATGTCAATTTGTTTAATAACGTCAATGTCGTGGTAAATCTTTTACAGATCATGGTACATTTGGATACGATTGATGTGACCAACTCGTAGAACCACTACTAAAAGCGATATCGTTTATTAAAAAACTATCTGTAACTATAAATATGCTATTTTAAGGATCATATGGAAGTTCTTATATGGAATATTTAGGTAATTATTGGTGATTTGGTAAAATGTTCAGTGTAATATGTGGCACTAGTTGTATACCGTAAATAAAAACAAAATATATTAATTCAAATATTATCTTTTTGATATATATTCACTAATATATATATTTCTCATTTTTTAGTTTTAAATTAAAACACAAAATTCGTTTGGCACTTTCTGTGCATTATTTTCTTGTTTTTTATTAATCGCAATAAAATTTATATTATGGAATTTAGCATCTCAAAAATAACATTTAATATATATATATAGATTTATTTAATTAAAAAAATTGTAGCGTATATATATATGTAGCGTATATATATTTTCTACTTATTAAAGCTAAATATCTAATATCATAATTAATCAGATTAATATTCATAGAATGTAATAAAGTGTTGAAAATACATTGTTAGTTGTTAATAGTGAAAATATTTGTTTTTTATATATAAAGATTTTCATTAATTAACATTATCATTAATTTCTGAGAACATCAATTAATGAAAACCCACACCAGCCCAGTTATAAAAAACAATACCATAAACCCACTGATATTTTCAAACACTTTAATGCATTTCAATAATTTGTTTTTATTTTGAAATTTAATTTAATTATTTTTTAAATACAAAAATTTATTTTAATTTACTGAATCAAACTGAAAAAAAAATTAATAAAATTAACAAATTCAAAAATTGATCTCTTTGCTTTTTTCTTACATTATTAAGGGCAACTGCGTATAAGATTTGCAAAATGTTTTCTTATATATTTTTTAATTTATTTAATATATATTTTTATTTTCTGGTTAAATATTGTTTATAAATTGTAAAATTGAGTGTGTGCATCATAGCGTAAATATATTTTTATTGACGTCCATTGTATAACCAAGGCATTGAAACGAAATCGTAGTCCATTTTCATCGCAAATATTTTGTCATCAATAGAGTTTTTGTCGAAATTTTTGTCTTCATTCGTCTAATATTCCTCGTTTTGTCCTTTGTTTGCATGCTGCTTCACATTATTGTTAACGCTGCGCTTGCCAAGTCGGGGACCAAACCATAAACCGGAAGTAGGTCCAGCACGTTTCTCAAGTGCTTGTTGCAGTGCCAATAGACGAGCCCATTTACGCATTTCCGCATCAGTTCGACCTACACGAGGAAAGGTGATTAAATTAGCACGTTTGATTTCACTTTTGGGAAGGTCTAAAAAAAAATTAAATAAATTAATAAATTAATAATTAATAAATTAAATAATTCTAATCTATAATACTTATTAATAATGTTTACTATAATTTTTATACCTTCATAATCCTCTAACGAGGGCTCATACAAATTGTCATCCATGTCGTGTAAATTATTTGTTAAGCTTGGATCGCTACGGCCAACGCGTGGGAAGGCATAAAGTCCGGAGGTAGCACCACCTCCACGTCTATTTTTGCTTTGTTCAAATTCTAGTTGAAATGACAACAAAAAATTATTTTTTTTTATATATATTTAGGCATAAATGTTGAATAAATTTAATGTTAAATAAACACAAAGTCGCCACAAAAGTTGTAAATAATAAATTTATTAAGTGTTGCACATATTTCGGAGATTCGCTATTTGTGGCTACTCCATTTAAATAAATTCAACAGCTGCTCCCGAACTCAAGGCGCAAACCAATTTATGTAGGCATTTGCTGGATAATTGATTTGGTTCCACTTTGGGAGCTATTAAAATGAAACGCCTAGCGGATGCAGTAATTTGTAAATAATTGTAGGCAGTTGTAATAAATTTGCTATGTTTTCATCTACACAACGAAATATTAAAGTCTTTGGAGGTGAACCTTTAGAATGCAGTTAAAAAATATATACAAACAATACATAAATTTTTTAATAAAAATTAAAAGTTCATTTCTATTTGTTAATACTGCAGATATTGATTTGATTTAAAAAACTTAAAAAAAAAATAATATTTTTATAATGAAATTATATATATATATATATATATATATGTAATATAATAATTTTTCACGTAGTTATAATTGAACCAACAATTTTTAGTGTGGCTGTGACCAACAATACAAAAAATTATTATCACTATATAATTTTTCCTACAATAGAAATAAATAGTAGTATTAGTGGCAAAGGCAGTGGAAATTTTTTAGCCTTAATACCAGTCAATAATATTTTTAACTTAAAATAAATTCAAATAAATATTATATATGTTATCTCCAGAAGTTATATATATTAGATAATTTTTCGTTACAATCCATTTCATTCCTAACAACAACCATGTCTGGTCTTCGCACCGTGCAACAAATTTATCCATCGATACAAGTTTATCCATCGATACAAGTTCTAAGCCGGTACCATCCAATTTGGAAGTTGTTGTCATCACTCTAACTCTAATTTGCATCGGTGCCGCTTATAATAAAATCTAACATAAAAAGTTTAACCGAGCAAGCTATAATTACTCTTAGAAATTATTGACTTGCCCAGCTTTATTTATAAGACTATATCTGCTCCAAGAAAAGCTGAAATGTATGCGATAGACAGGCTTATATACTTTAACCTTGAACATAACTATCAGCGCCATGGAGTAGTAGTTTAAACTAATTACTATCAAGTAATAAAGGCTTCAGTTTTCATTTGGTAACATTAACACTGCTAATGGATTGTCTTAAAAAGCTAAACGTCATTGTCCAAAATAACTAGATATGTATCGTAGGGGGTTTCGAATTACGACTGAATTTCCGCTAATAACATCGCAGACAGATTTGTCGGAAAAGCGGCAACATTGCTGCTGTGGGGTCGAAATTTTCCATGACTTGGGAAGAGAATATTTTATACTCATGCATTCAGAAAAAGAAGGAGGTACAATACATTTCTAGATTGCAATGTAAAATAACTCAACATAAACGCGGTCGAGAGGTCAAACCACTTTTTGTGAAACACTCATATCTTAGATCCATATGTGGAAATAATAGAGCCCTGTAGATACTGCAGTAGCTTGGATGTTACAGTAAGAATTACTGATATAGAGGTCTTGCTAGCTACTGGTACTGTTTCAGCAGTCATCAGTTAAAGTTCCGATATTCATCATCCCCGATATTATAAGCTGCTACAATTGAACTACTTTGGTTTAGGATGGAAGGATTGCAACACCTCAAACTCGTACCTCACTACCCCATTTTTTTGATTCATCATTGTTATCTGCAGCTTCTGATATTATATTACGAGTACATTTAAATCTACTTTCATCAATTATTTCAATACATGAAGCCTGAATTATTAAACACAAAGAAACATTCCAAATACAAATCAGGATATATGGTATTGACTGCTGAGTGATTCATAAAGAAGAATACTCTACACTTAGGTATGTTATTAATAAAATTAATGTTAATAGCGATTTTAAATTAACAAAATGTTTAAATTAATATTAAGAAGTATTGTATAATTTTTTGGAATAAGAACGTACATACTCGAATATTGAAATTCGATACATACTTCATATAATAATAGACTTCTTTAAAGGCTTTTTACTCCTACATCTTGGTTGAATCTTTAATAATAAGAGTATAAGATTTCGAGTGAATATTAATTTAATTTACAAAGACAAAAAAGTATATAAACTTCCATGTTAATAATCAAATTAGGTGCCTAAAGGTTTTTAATATTTTTATTACTTTTGTAGTACAAAATGTAATCCAAAAGGGCTTAACGCGTAGTCTATGAATGAAATTTAAATTGTGAACTAATTGTATACTTAAATGGAATGTATATCAGGGTTACATACAATTCATTTACAAAACACTCGAATAAATTTGTTCATTTAAGATTAAATAGAAATCATTTAATGTGGATGGTGTAATTAATTATTAATATATTTTGCCATGCAGAAGACTTCAGTAGGTTGAAATAAATGAATCAGCAGTTGAGAAGTCCATCATAAAGTTAACAAATTGAAGTTGAGACAGTTTAATATAATTTCAAGAAAATGAAGATATGGTTATTTTCTTTATTTATTTCAATAATCTCTTTTTTTTTTAATAATATTTAATCTTACTTACATACAAAGTTTAAAAAAGAAACTCCATAAAAAATAAAAATTGGAGAGAAATACCATACCAACATACCAGAAACGAACAGAACTTTGGAAGATGTACAACGGCGATAATTTTTGGGTAAAGCACAGTATTATAACCTGGAGACAATAGCCAAAGAAAATAAAAAGTTTTTCTACTAATGAGATAGGAACTAGAATTGCCTCGTAAATGTATAGAGACAATGGAGCCAAGAAAACTTATTGGCAATTAACGAACATGCCTGCAAAACATATAGGTAGCCCTTAATACAGATACTACTGTACTGTACTAAGTATGTCTCTAACTAGTGCCGCTAAGAACTTGTGCTGTTAATGCTCTAATGCTCTTTCTTTAACTGGTATCGCTAGGGATCTGGGCAATTATTTTACTAACCAGTTTTTCAACTGGTATCGCTAAGACGCGGAGGTCTATACCTACTAACCAGTTCAACGTACCAACCTGCCTAATTTTATAGAAAATCTGCAATACTAAAAATATTTCTATTTTATTTAGAGACAATCTTCATGCAAGTTGTCACTGAGTTCTTTCTGCGCTAAAAGCCTCAATGATATGCAGCCATCTGTATACAAACTGGTCACTTACCGTTAAAAGAAAATCCAAAAATCTCATTGAGATGCCCCTTAGAGACATCAGTCTATTGGTAGGTTTACTTACAGGTCACTGCAAACTTGGCAATCATGTTAGAAGATTAAATCTGTGAGGAAGTCGATAAGAGTGCTTCTCATCTACTATGTGTTTGCCCAGCTCATGCACGGCAGCGATTTAACACTTTAGGAGCACCTTCTCTTGATGATCTTGATCAATTACAAGATCTGACTCAAAACAGCACAATGGCATAAGTGGATCCCCTAGGTATCGCTGGTAAAACCTAACCTACCTAACCTAGAGACAAATGTTTTGAAATCATTATAATAAAAATATTAGAAGGACATATTTAAATTTTCTGATTAAAAGTTAAAAATAATATTATAGAATTATGTTGTAGACGATCGTATAAGCTTTATGTAGTGAATACTTATGAGAATTTATTAAAGTTGGTTATGAAAATTTTCGGTGAACTGAACTTAATAGCCAAAAATATTATAATTATTCTGATATAGTATAGGAAAACCACATTATAATTACCACTGTTTTGGCAAGATGTTGATAGTACAAAGCACACTCTATACCTCACTTAAATGCCAACAAAATCAATTTTTTCTTGTTAAAATCACAGTGTAGGTAGTATCTACTAAGCAGTTTAGTTTGCTGTTTTTCTTGATAATTTTACAAGTAATTTAGAAACAATAATCGTTATATTGTCAGCAGGAACGCTTAAGCATGGATTAGCACCTTTGCTAGTACATGAAAATATTTACTCAACTTAATAGACAAAAAAGGAGCACTGAAACATTTAAACTGAAAAAAGTCAATCACCTACAATGAACAGGAACAGGAATATAAAAGTAAAAGTGAAAACTAATGATGCAAGGATACACAACCTCTGCGTCTATTGAAAGTGTTCTAACATCGAACTATATTGAGCAACATTTAAAAGAATTTATGTATCTTAATCCGATACGAATGCAGAATTTATGTAAATTTAATTTAAGTCGGTTTAACAAACAATTTAAACAAATTACACTTTAACTTCCAAACCATGACATCAGTCTCAGAATGGAGTAAGACAGCCCAGCTGCTGCTCTGAAGGTGGCTAGAATTTTAAAAATGGGAGTGTGGACAATGCTTGCGCCAGTGATGCGATTGATTGCTATGGATTTATGAGCGATTTAATAGCAACAATTGTATATTTACAGAAAATAAAAATAGTGAGTAATGTACTTCAAAACTCTTTAAATATTTTTAAAGAAAAAATATCTAAAAAAGAATTTATCAGTAAATTTAATTTAAAATCTTACTTTTATGTCTGAGTAAACCACATAATTTCTGATTAAATTTATTAATTATTTTTTAATAAGATTTCTTCACCTTTAAAAATTGATTAACTGCGGTTTACTCGTCGTACTTGAGTTAGTCCTGATTTGCAGGGAATTCGTCAGTAGAGGCTGATGTGCCGCTGACATTTATTTGAGTTGCTTTCATGTAGTGGAGTAGGATAAGGAGTAGGAGTAGGAGGAAGAGAAGGCTCTTTAAATATTTATATTAAAAAACGTATTGACAAATTGAATAATTTCAATGTTGAATTATTAATGAATTCACTTGCAAACGATATAAAAATAGGCACTCGAATTAATATACATTAAAGTCAAAATTTATTCATATTTTTTACATTTGTTATTGAAATGTACGCAATTTATACGAATACTTCTTCCTATGTTTCACATACATTTGCCGAGTTTTCTATTCACTTGCAAATAAATTTTAAATATGTTTTTACGCATTTTTCTGGTGAAGTTGATAATGTAACTGATATATTGAATAATATTTTATATTCTTTTACATACATATCTTTTTCTTAATATCTTTTAACAATTGTTGTTTTCAAAGTAAACAATATAGACAGTATAAGTAATTCTATTTTATGGTCCTACATTTGGCATATGTACTTGTCTTAGTAAGGCATAAAAATTATCTTATGCCTAATTATTATTTTTATTCGTAATACAAAAATTTATTTAAATAGAGTAATAGAAAAGTACTTATTACTAAAAACATAAGTACTCTAGAACTTTACTTAACATCATATCCAGAAATAATCCAACGTTTCTTATCAAACGAAATCCCTATAATAATAGAAGCACATTTACTACCAGAATCGAAAAATGAATACTATACCTACAATAACGAGCATATCAATATAATCATAAATATTATCACAATGGTCACCAAAAATTTCAGCTAGACAACATTGAGTTTTTCTTAGGGATGCTGACAATTAATCTGTTTTCGATAAGCATATCTATTTTACCTACTAAATTGGCCCTAACAATATGTTATTGGGTTTCAGCCTGAAGACTTACGATATTATTTTAAAATACTGTTACTCATATAATAATCAACAGCTGCAGTGGTGCAGTTAGCTTTATCTTCCATCAATAAAGGCTTCTAATATGTTATAATATATATTTCAACAAATAATCAGTTAAACAATTTTCTGCATACGAGACCATCAAATGAGTGGTAAATAATATTTAGAAAAGTGTTGCTTTTAGTGAAATAAGTTAACCTAAATTAAAATAATATGGGTATTCACGACAACAAGAATCTTTCAAGTACATATATCTTGTTAGCATAAACTTGAACACTGTTATCATGTTCGATGACTGAGACTCTAATGTATTAATAATTTTTTAGACTAAATATTAAAAATTGAACTTAAATATTTACGTTCCTTTCTCTAGTATAGCAATATCAACAGCAATATTTATTTTTTCGTATATATGAATATATATTCATATATATATAATATATGAAAAGGAACTATTTAAAGTTAGACGGACAAGGACAAAAATTTATTTTTAATAAAATAATCGAATTTAATTGTTTATAGTCCTTGTCTTCTTTGCTATTCGAATCCGTTTATATTCATTTTCATTCTACACTATTCTGTCTCCTTTTCTTCCATTTTTTCCTATTACTTCTGTTGGTATTATTATTATTAAAGGTGCTCTTTTTTCCTATTACTTCTGTTGGTATTATTATTATTAAAGGTGCTCTGATTTAAGCGTTCGTCTATATTTACATTAAAACTGTAACAACGTAGAAATATATACTGTAGTTAACTTTCTATAAAACATTTTCAAGGATTAACACCAAAACTAGATCTTTAAAATACTTTCCACAATTTGAGCAATCATATAAGATTAGAAAACTAGATCTTTAAAATACTTTCCACAATTTGAGCAATCATATAAGATTAGAGTATAGATATATGCAACGTTACAATCAAATCAGTTTCGACATTAGTACGGAACCACAAGTGAGGTGAAATTATTTGATCCCATTATATATAATCGGAATATCAGTAAAATAATAAATTATCAAATTATATTTTTTTATGTTAAAATTCAATCGTTTTTATTTGAGAACGAAACGATTTCGAAGATATTTTGTTAAAGAAACTTTAAATAAAAAGAGGAATTATCTTTTTTGAAGAAACATTTTAAGGAAATTTACTTTTTATAACTGAGGATTGAATCTGAAAATTAAAATTTATATTTTAAACAAATTTATATCATTTAAAAAGCTTTTCTAATAAACATATTATGTGTGTTTTAATAAAAAATAAATAAATAACAGTTAATAATATCAGGAGTATAATAAAAAAATTAATCTTTTAAAAATCGAATTATTTTGAAAATGATTTTAAATAAATTAAAATTAAAAACAATTTGAACAATATATTATAAATATAAATGACACGATATATAAAAGATATATAATTTATATTTAAATATTTGAGTTATATTAAAAAATAAAATATAATAAAAAATATATATGTTAATAATATAATTAATGGCATTGTCTTTTGTATTAGACATTTTCAGATAACTAATTAAGTTAAACAAGTGTTAAAATTTTAATATTATTATTATAGTTAGTAGTTAGTAGTGGTTTAAAATAAATAAAAAATTTAAAAATATTTTTATATGTAAAAGAAAAATTAATTATTACTAAAATTGGCTATAGTTAAAAAAATATAATATCCATGTTATAAAAATATAATATCTCTTATTTTTTATATTTTATATATCTTTTATGTGATATTATATATATAAAAATTTTTAACTTGTATAAAAAAAATTTAAAATAACAAATACAATATATGAAGAAGCAATAAATTCTAAAAAATATTATTATAATTATATATATTATATGTTATTTGATGGTTTTAGTATTTTATATTTTTAACTTTACCATTAAGTTATTATTATTCATTTTCATTTATTAATTATATTTGTTATAAGTATTACAAAAATAAATTTTCTTTTCGCACTAGTTTATTTTAATTAGATTCAGAATTTATACTTATATATCAAATTTTATTTATTAATATAATCACTTACCAGCTTGAGAAAGTCCAGCCAAAGCAATTATCAATACAGTTAAGTAAATTAAAAAATCCGCACTGAACATTGATTTCATTTTGGTTTATTTTTTGTTTTTTTTGTTTTGTAAATGAAATTACTTAAAAATTTATAAATTTATTAAAATAACAATTTTGAACTTAGCAACCACAAAATAATTGAAGCACACGGCGATTAAGAAATTTTAAAAATAAATTTTTAATATTTGAAATTAACCGTCGGATTAAAATTTTAAACAAAATAAAATATATACATTAAAATATATATATTTCTTTTGTTTTAAAACTAAAATAACTTCCTGTTGTTGTATTTGTGGAATTGTGCTTTTCTAAGTCTTGACTACTTTTCCTCTTCACGTACAACAGAATTATGCTTGATAACTGTTAAAATCCGTGTCCTTTTATATGAAAAAGACAAAAGGCATCGCCTGCAGGATAATGGCAAAGCAACAAAACTCATCAGTAGCAACAGCAACAATTGGCGACGCATCCTTGCTTTGATACACATTAAAGGCAGCACAACATTGCCTACATACAAATGTGCTTATGAATGTGTAATTTTGGGGGGTCCCAACACAAGACACAACACGCACAAGCGCACACAAGACACAGCATGCACGTCAGCACAGAAATCTGCCTAAATTGCTTGGATATGTTGTTGGATGAACTTACTACTACATACATATATACAATATCTGCATCCGCAGCAATATCAGCGAACAACATAACAGCGGCAACAACGGATTCAACAGCAACATTATTTCACCTAACTTGACATGTTGTTTTATTTTTGTACTTAATTTAGTTCTTCTTTGGATACAAATTGTTGCTGCCAAGCTGCGGTTAGAAAAGCAACAAATGCTTGTGTTGCTAAACATTGTAAGCAACAGGTGTTGCGAGCATAAAGAAGCGTAAAAACATGTTGAGAAGCATTTCCCAAGTATGCAAGCATTTCATAAACACTTTTTATTTTTATTCTTAATGCAATAAACATATATTGAAAGTTAAACGTATTAAATTATTAAATTATTTTATTAATAACATCTATTAATACACTGCGGATGGTCTATGAAGTAGACCGAAATATCTGTTAAATAAAAATATATACATAGCAACTTTGAAATTTATGTTTAAACCCAAGTTTTTTTTTTATCTAATATAAGTTATAAGTTCAAATTTGGCTGGGCATGAGTTCAATCCCTGGTACTTATGTGTGCGAGTTCGATTAAATTGATGGTATATTGAGGGAAATAATAAATTGTGTCGGCAAGGCAGTGAATGTTGGTATTTATTAGAATTTCGAGTAGGGTAAATTAGATAAAAATTAGGTAAATTAGAGGTTAACATTGTGAAAATTGAAAACTTTTAACCCAAACTAAAAAATTAATGATGTGCACATTACTTTTTATAAGCGATATGCAAAAAATCCCTAGAAAATTTCAATTTGCTTTACCTCAATTTACTCGAACTCGCACATATTAGTTATTTACTTTATAATTTATATTCTTAAAACCTTTTTTTAACATTTTTCGATGGGTCCAATTAATTAATTCACTTTTATTAATAATCATTAGCGAAGAAAACTTATTATTAAGTTCCACTTAACTCTTAACATATAAAGGAGTACGTATGAGGTGTTTGTTGCAATGTATGGGGGTTTAATATTTGGAGTGGATTCAAATTAAAAAATGCAACGTATCTTTTTAACTCTTGTAAAACTGTAGATAGTTTGTAATTACAATAACGTAGTTATTTGGATAACGCTAACTGTTGCGATCTTTCTATAAAATATTTAATGGAATCTCTATTCCATTAAAGACTCCGTATATCCGGTAATAAACAGCCGAGTATAGTAGTAGTTGATACTTGCGAATATGTTGTTAATTAATGTGGAACTTTAATTTAATGAAATCTCATAGGTTAGATCAGGGCTGTTCAAACCAGATAAGATTGCGGGCTAATTCAAATCACTGAATAGGTTGGAGGGCCGCAGAAATAAATACGTACATTCATAATTTTGTCGGAGAAAGTAAGAATATGGCAATAATGTTAAATTTAGTTTTATTAATTCTTTATTAATTTATCTTTTACAATTCTATCAACATAAACATTATTAATATAAGTTTTTGTCATACAAAAAAAAATTTTATTTTTAATGTACTGACATGCACTGGATATGTACTGGATATGAGTTGTAGAGAGAAATATATACTAAAAACTTTGCAAATTAAGTAAATTAACTTGTTGTATAATAAATTATTTAAAAAATTTTAATTCATTTCATATAACAATTAAAATTTTGCCGAATTGTGATAGATTGGAAACATGTTGCGAACCCTGCTTTGGACAGCCCTGGGTTAGATGATTAATTTTTAATTAAGATGAAAACAAATATGAGCTTAAGATTACGAAAAAACCGTATAACCAGGCCACTTTGATTCAAGAAGGTCATAACAACTTGAAGTTAACAGCCTACTGCTAAGGATTTGGCAGAGTGCTAACTTCAAGAAAACATGCATTTTTTATGACCACACTCCCTTTAGAGTGTTGAATTTTCTGGGAGAGGTTCTTCTGATAGTGAGTTAAAACCTTTCACGTTTTTATAGTATGATAATATTTTTATTATTTTATTTCAAACTAATTTTATTTCAACTTATTATGACCTATTAAGCTCAACGTAAAGAAAAATATTTTCTTTAATAACCTGGCGAAGCTATCATTCTAATGTCTTGAAGTAATATATACCAAATATTTTAAAATATTTTTCTATGAAATTTTATTCAATTTCAATTAAAATGAGTTTCATAATGTCTCCTTCAATCTAATCGAGCAAAAAATGTTGCTAATTATGAATTTGAACCAAGGATCCTTGAAAAAGGAGTACAGTAGATACTTTTTAAAAGGAGCGTATGTTTTGATTTCATTAAAATTTGAGTGCAGAAGCCAAGTTGAAAGTATACCAAACCATTCACTTAATCAGATAAAAACTTTTAATACTCTTAATGCCAACCAGCAAAGAATATTTTAAAATGTATTTAACTTATATATGGTATAAAAAGATATCCTGTGTCATGTAAAGTACTGAAAATATACACAGAAATTTCCATGAAAAATATTTAAAAATAGAAAACGACAACAAAGTAAAAAGTTACTCATTTGTACATAAAACAAAATTATTTTTATTCGATTTTGTAATAATTTTTAAAGTTAATTAATAAAAATTAATTCTTAGTCTAAGAATAAATATAAAATATGACAAATGAACTTTTTGATTTAAAGCCAACCGGATATCATACGCCCAGTAACCGTGGACTTGCCGCGCTCTCCACCCGCTGCAGCACTACTCTGACCAACTTTAATGGCAGGCTTAAGAGGAGCAGCTTCAGCTTTTTTATCATCTTTCTTATCAGCCGGCTTATCATCTTTCTTATCTGCAGGTTTATCACCTTTCTTTTCATTGCTTTCATCATCTTTTTTCTCATCTTTATTGGTTTCCTTTTTGTCATCTTTTTTGTCATCCTTCTTATCATCTTTCTTTTCATTCGCTTTGGTATCTGTTTTCTTATCATCCGTCTTGGTTTCAGTTTTCTTCTCATCAGGTTTCTTATCAGCTGCACTAGTTATTTCAGGTTTCTTATCATCTGCCTTTTTCTTTTCATCTGCTTTGCTATCACCTTCTTTTGTTGTCGTGGACGATGCACCTGATTTTTGTGCTGAAGCATCTGGCTTAGCTGGTACAGCTGGTGGAGCAGCTGCCGCTGTACTCTTAGCTGCTGCAGCAGGTTGTTTGGTAGTATCTGTTTGCTTAGCCGGTTCTTCTTTCTTTGCAGCGTCAGGTTTTGTTGCTTCACCAGGTTTTAATATTGCGGGCTTAGCAGTGGTATCAGTTGGTTTAGGTGGAGGTGCTGGCGCAGCGGGTTTTGTACTTTCGCTTGACTTGGAATCTGTTGGTTTAGTGTCAGTTGGTTTTGTTCCGCCAGCTTTAGTCTCTGCAGGCTTAGCTGCATCTGGCTTGGGTGCAGTTGCTGCAGCTGGAGCTTTCATTGAAGCGGTGAGTTTAGAAGCTGTATCAAGTATCGATTTTTTAGACTATTCGGGAAGAAAAAAAACAGATATTTTAATAAAAAAATAGTTTTTGTAAAACTTTTTTAAATTTGTGTTCTGGAACTTAAATATACTTATTCGACTAATTATATTAAAGTGTGAAATATATATAAAAAAACTTGAAATGTGTAAATGATTATTAACAAACTTACACCAATTGCCTCCATTCTCTTTGGTCTTTCTTTTTCTTTATCTTCTCCATCAGTATCACCAGCATTGCTTACGGAGTCTTCATCGGCAGTAAATTTCTTTTTCATGAATTTCACATATGCTACACGTGTAGCACGTGATACATCACCAAGATTTGGATTATATTCTATTTTTAAAAACATTTATTAAGAAGTATGTTTATAATAATATTATAATAAATTATATATAGTACCTATCAGTTGGGTCTGATTCATCTTCAATCCTTCATTGGCTTGCTCGATGATTCTACGTCGCAAGCTGCGCTGACTATGTCGTTGCATTGAAGAACGTTTTGTACCTATAGGATCTGCTGACATAGTATTTTGACGTGCAATTGCATTCCAGTCCTTATCACTAGTAAAAGAAAATTATTGAAGCATGCTTAATGCATGTATATAAGTGATGGAAAAAAATAATGCGTTATCTATAGATATAGCAAAGTTTTGTCTGGACTTATAGATTTAAACTAATTATGCAAAAATATTTAAAATAAAACTAATGATGAAAAAATAGTAACGTCAAGTGTGTGCAGATGTTTAAACTTCTTTTATATTGAACACTGAGCATATATATGCATATATATATTATTAAACATCATATTATTAATTAACTTAAATACCAGTTATAGGGTAGAGAAGTTAAATATCAATACTGAAAACATATATATATTTTTTTATAGCTTAGGTTTTTCTTTAGAAACCTAACACTTCGGTTAACTTGAGAAGAGAAAATAAAAATTGGCTAGAGGTACATAATTCGTATCAGTTTGTATATTGTGACATCTGTAGAATGGAATCACAAAAAAACGGTGTAAAACTGCATAATACTATCGCGAGAATGATATCTGTCCGATATATGATAATAATTTGAAATTGTCCAAACACATAAAGACCACTAATCGTGGCTACATGATAGAATTTTTCACTTACCCTTTCTGTGCCTTCTTCTTGCCCATTACTCTGGCTACAACTGAAAATATATCACTATTACCATCTTCACTCATTTCTTGTTTCAAGTTCTCAACAAGACCGATTTGGAAATCTTTAAGTATGCGACGTTCGGTCACTTTGCTCTTCTTGGTGCCCGCAGCAGCAGCTGTTTATATAAATATTATTATAATTATGGGCAGATTATATTATTTTATAATTTATATATCTATCACATATATATTTAAAATACCATTTTTTAGGTATCAAACAATATATTTTTTCTTACCTGCTGTTTTTTTCTCAATATCGGGCACATTGAAATTATTATTAGAGAATATATCCAACAATTCAAAACGTAACGAACTAATATCTTGACGTACTTCAATAATATCATCCTCTGTGATACCGTAATCATCACGACGACGCTGCTCGGCAGTAATGTAGCGACGTATAAGTAACTTCATAACCTTATCATGCAACCCCTGTGCTTTCACCAACGACTTGCGCTGTAAAGGGCAAGAAGAAAAGTGTTCAGATAAATTATTACTAATTCACAACATTCAGCTACATTCCGATTATTGGCGCCACAACAGCTGAGCTAGTGTGACGCAAAACACCTACAAAACAATCTATGCCAAGCAAACCCCATGGAGAAGAAAAGTTAATAATGTTTTGTAATTTATCTAAATAATGCGGTAAAGTAGTATTTTACTCATGCTAAAGTGTTTCGAATAATCACACGTCATATTTGAAATTGTAAAATGTGAAACTTAAAAAAAACTATCAAGCAGAATATAAGCTAAATTAAAACTAATTAAAACTAATTAAAACACTTTAATAAATTAAAAATAAAAAAAATATTTCTCTAATGAACTAATGTAATAAATTGTACTTTTCAATAATCCAGTTCGATCCGTTTCCCTAAGTAACTTACCATAAAGCTCTTTGAACGTTTTCTCTTCACTTTTCCTAATGTTTTTCGCAGCAATTTGATTGAGGGACATAGATTAAATGGTGCTGGTACAGTGCCCCCATCTTCGAAGTAACTCATCCATAATTGCGAACGAGCAAATTTCCATTCAACATCAGCACGTTCCGATATGATTTGATAGGAGTTCGACATCATAGCAATCAACATGTTGAGCAGTACAATAATATTTATTACGGAATACGAACCGAACATCAATAGGGCCCAAAAACGCGTAAAACTCTTTATGCCAGCCAAATCGAAGGAGACCAAATCGACTAAACCGAATGAAGCCCAGAAAAGCGATTGAGATGTTTCGAAAAGACTGTTAAAGAATTTTTCATCTATATCTGTATATGTATTTAGAATAGAGATTTGAAGCATACTTAGAAAAACGTCTCCATATTGTGCAAGCCTTTTCTTGATCGTCAAAGTCAGCTACATCTGGATGCAAATGATAGCACTTTTTCATTTCCAATTCCGCATAGTACCATAATAGTTGATTCAATCCGCAACCAAACGCAAACAATACTAACGTATATATCAAAAAGAACTTAATGATATCGATTATCATACGACCCAATGAAACTTGTAATGGTCCCAAATGCGGATTAATAGAGAATATATGTACCAGTTTCAGATAGGAAAATACCATGCCTGCCGCAAATGCACCTTCTGATAACAACATCGGGTCGAACGGATGCCAATGTTCACGCGGAAAGTACGGATCTATATTTCGATACCATAAGTCTCTCTGTAAAGAACGTGTATTTACTTATATAAACTCATACTTTTGATTACTTTAAAGTATTATTATGAATCAATATAAATCTTAAGAAATTAGGATCTTTAAAGCTCGATTTTTTTAATCAAATTTACTAAATTGGAATGATAATCCGAATACTGAAATTAAATTTAGAATTAGTTATTATTTTTTGAACTTACATGCACAATTACCCATGCCGTGGCCCTACAAAGTATCCATGTTACATAAAACATGTTCGATATGAAGTCTACCACATTCCATAAATCTGTTATATAATCGAACAGCCCATCTGCATAAAGAGTTTTCAGTTCGCCAAATATCAAACCTTAAAAATAAGATTAATTTAAATATATAGTCTTTAAAACGGATTCATTTATAAGATTATTCGGTGCTTTTATATTTACACGCTAAGCATAATTAATATATTACTTTTAATGATATATAGTATAGGATCCAGATAATTCAAAATAAAGAAGTGTCTTTATATTATATGGCCTGAGAAAATAACGTTTTATATTTTTAACTATAATTCGAAGAATAAATGTAAAGGTTATTTTAACCTTTATTATCGGTAAAATTATAATTATAGGAATTATAGGTAAAAATAATGAATTTCTTGGTACATCAGTAATAAATCTAGTACATATACCGAATGGATGTATTCTAACAATAATAATATAGTGCAATACAAGACTTTCAAATTAGGTTCAATCAAATTAACTTACAGGGTTTTTTTACAGAACACTGGATTCTGAGGTACCATCTCAATAAAATGGACCTTTCAGAGACACTTATTTATCATTTTTATGAAATAGATATTTTAGCATCTGAGGGCATCTTCTACGAATGCCTTACACTGAGCGGCAGCAGACAAATCCACTTCGGACACAAACATATGGAGCAAAACAAACCATTGTTAGATATTTCTATTCATTGAAAGCCAAAATCTAAAGCCAAAAATGATCGGTTGAACCAACTGCGTTCAGACCACCTGAATCACATATGGATGTTTTCAAAGTGAGTGTTTTCGAATTAAAAATACTTATAACAGTAAAATAATGATACTATCCAATGAGGAAAATCAAGAAAATAATTATAATATTAGTGCTATTATGTGCTTCCATGCAACACTTATTTTACATGTAAAGGCTATTCATTATTAATATAGTGTGTATACAATATAAGTTATTTGGGAGAATTGTAGAAATAGTCTCATAGCATCTAAGTGTTCTAACTAATAGTAAGACTGAAAACAATATATAAATCAACTTTCTTTGAAAGTATGTACATTAAATTATTTAAAAATCATGTAAAAACATGAACAATAAAATATATCAAGGGGAATAAAGTTTTTTACCGAAGCTATATGGTACAATGTATCAGTGTCTGTTAGGATTCATAATTCATCTTTGACAAATTTCAATGGATTCCTTAAGCTATATAGCTGATAACTAAATCCTATATTATACGAAAATACCATTTTGCTAAGTTCTAGATATATGAGTTAGTCCAAAAATTGATGTTTTAAGCTAGGCTTATTATTCAAGATATTAATTATACCAATTAAAATAACAAATTCAATTAAAAATAACTTTCTGTTCAATTATGAACAGTTTTAGTTCCTTTCATTTTTAACAATAAGTATTGTTTTCTTACTTACTTGCCACATACATTATTATGCCCAATTCAATAGGTCCTGGTAGAGAGCCTCTTTCATGTTTACGCCAATCTTCTAACATAGCCAACATCCAAGGAAATGCCAACAACTCAAAAGTGATTTGAACAACACGCAATGAAGCAGCACCCAGAAGCACTAAAGATTATAAAGATCGATGTTATAAGAAAGTGAAATTATTGTAATCCAACTTCCTTACTTAAGAAAAACATGTAGGAAAAGGATTGAGAAATGAATTTAACAAAGGGTTTTCGCATCAATTTGCCAGTATCCGAGTCCGGAGCCATCAAATAATTCATACTGTTTATAGGAAACATACAACCGAGTTTAAGAACTTCCATGATTTGCTGGGAAGCTTGCTTACGTCGAAAACCAGGCAAACCCTCATACCAAATTGCGGCCAGTAACTGTTGTACATTAGGATGAGCTACAAACTGTGGAAGAATGAACACAAAATTAGTTAATAAAAAAGTATAAGTAATGCATAAGTCATTTACAGTTTTTTGTTTATATTTAATGGCCAGTTTAAGACGTTCCAGCGTTTGACGTTGTCCCGGCACCCATATGACATTTGAGGGTTCATGGTTGAAATTTAGCATAACTTCCAGTTCTAAAGAAGTGCGTGCATGATCCAGCAGAGATGTTACAAAGTCTTGTACATGTAAACGCATTTCCTGTATAAGCAAAAATAATAGAATATTCGTATTAAACTTAATGGCATTACACTTTTTTATGTAAGCATATGTTGGGCCGGGGTGGACGGTGCGCTGCTTACCGTATATTCCGCACGAAATTCAGATTCCATCGCTTGTAATCTTTTCAATTCCCAACAAAGCTCAAATGCTGTTAATACAGGGTCACGAGAGCTGAGCGCTATTAGCGAACTGGCAGTTAGGGCACGGTATGCGTTAATACGGGACTGGGAATAGCGCAGTGAGTCCGCTTCTTGTGATGTAACGCAGACATCACAACCACATCTGTAAATTGCATTAACATCAGTTTTTGTGTTGATAAATTCAATTTTGAGATAAAAAAAAAATACAAAAAAGTGTTGGTGCTTTTCAAAGAATTACTAAAATTAGCGAGATAACATTTTAAGTAAAAAAAGTAACATTATTTTGTAGGTAGCAAAACTCAACCAAAACTTTTTATCCGAGCTATTGTTAGTTTTCAGTTGTGCAAAAATGAGAAAATAGTTTTTTCTTTGCTATTGCCAATTGAGCACAAGTTGCAAAATCATTTTATCAACAATGTATCTGGCCACTTTCAGCAAGATACCAAGTACAACAAATGGATGCCAGAAATATTATTGTGACAACAAAACTCCAAACGAAAGAAACACGCCTGAAAAGTTTTAATGTCGTTGACCAAAATATGCAAAATTTAGCTTAAAAATCACGTAAAACTATTGCAGCAGCAAATAAGAAAACGTGCCGAAATGTGTGCCGCTTAGCTAAATGCCACTAATTTCACAATCAGTGCAACAAACCCCACTGCAAAATGGCAATACTACATGAAGTGCAAGCACTTATAGTGCATAAAACGAACGTTCACCAATCCGACACAGATACACTGGTAAATAGAACGGCCAACGGCAAAGGTAAATAGTCACTAAACGTGTACCAAATGCACTCACTTGACATCATGCGGCATTGGTAATGTTGCTCCACGGTCCAATAATAGCCTCAAAATCTCGTAATTGTTGCGATGTGCAGCCAATATTAATGGTGTGATATCGGCTGTAAATGTGGATTTGGAGCGGTCGACGGCTTCCCAACTCTATTAGTAATGAGAATGAAATTATCAATTGTAATACTTTTGCAAATAAACATTCATTGTTTTATGACGTACGTATGGTTCACCCTCCTTATGATGTGTTTCTTCCCATTGGAGTAACTCCTCCACAGCTTCTACATATTCTTCTGATATGGCATGCAGCAGCGCATCACCTACATCAATGCCATAATCAAGTAGTACGACAATTAAATCAAAATTTTCATTTTCAATCGCAGATATAAGCGCAGAACGATTCATTGGATCCACACAGTTAAGATTAAATTTATCCGGTTGATCGCGATAGGTTTCAATAATTCTATTAAAAAAATGTTCATTACAATATTAAAAAATATTACTTAATAAAAAAGTCACCAACTTTTTGACACCCGATAAATCACCACGTTCAGAAGCTAATATAAAATTCTTCTCCACCTCTGATAAGATATATTCTTCTGCCATAACAATATCATAATCAGCTTGGTGGCCCTTTTCGGGGTCACCTTCTTTTTTTCCAGCCATGCCTTGACTGTTTCGTTACTTCTAATGCGACGAAAGGAATATATACTTCTTTCTATATTTCACTTTTTGCAATCAAATACGGTTAAACTAAAGATAAATATATTAAAAAAAAGAATTATTAAATAAAACAAACTAAAAATTATAGTATAATTATAGTATTATCATTCAAAGAAGAATCTTAAGAGCACATGACTTTAATATTAGTATTTACATATACTTATTGTGTTGTTATTATCTCTCTTAATATCACTTATCATAACATAATTAGACATAGTATTAACTGTGGACTAGTAAATACTATTATTATAAATAAATTTAATTAAAATAGGGGAAATACCATCATTATGGTCTGTCATAATACCTATAAATCTATAATACTATAGATTTTTAGTACTAGCATTATGTTGTTATCTTGAAATTGAGTTTTCGATTGCTAACTTTGTGGTAAAATGTATAATACTCCAGATTAATTTTTAACACTCTAGATATTTTACCAGAGTAGCAAGATAACCCTAGAATTAACAACTGTTCTATATGATTTGACAGATAAACTGTGACTTCAATCGATATATGTTTTTTGTAAAAAATATGAGTGTCTACTAACACTACTAAGAAATTGTAGATTACTCTAAAAATGTTCGATTGGAGAACCAAATTTGACACATCACGAGTAAATCTAGTATAAATCCAGATTTACCAATCGAAAACGCTACAAGAAAATGATTATAGAAAAGTTTTCTATAGAACTAGATATGTAGTCAATTTGTCTAAATTCGAGTTCTTCAAAAGGAAATTCACATCCTCATAATAAAAACTTTTTAGTTAATTTGTCAAAATTGAGTTTTTAAAAAGGAATAAAGCATCATCCACATCCTTACGATAACAGTAACTTGTTGGATCTTTAATAATGGTGACTTTGTGGTGTCCACCTCTGTTGTACCCCAATCATAACTGCTGGCTCCTTTCTACATAATGTGAGAGTAGTTTCGATGTTATGTTCTTCACAGAGTGTTTTATCACTTTTTATATTTTTCTTTTCAATTCTATTAATCTAACGAAGTTATTCAGCAGTACGGACTTAGAATAAGGAATAGGTATCAAATCGAAAGCAATGTAACCATTCGATCACCTAATTCATTCTCTACGACACTGTAGCGACCAGGAATCAATATTATATGGTCCATTGCTTTATGTCTCTAAAAAACTACCAGGACAGCCGAGAGCTTCGTGAATATTGACTGTAGCTGCAAACGCCGATGAACTTTCCGCTTTATTTCTCATTTATATTCCAGCAAACTACTCTTATTTTCCGAAGCCTTCTATTAAGAAGACTATTGCGGTAGTCGATGGAAAAGGAATTTGATTTCGTCGCATGAGAACCACCCAAACCCAATATGATTTTAAGTTATATTGTTATGAGTCCATGGTGGACTGTCAGTCCAGTGTTTGAATTGAAGAGTGAAGGGTGAATAGAATCAAAAATTTGCTTTGATTATAGACAAGTCAAGCATAACTGTGGTTTAATATATGCTCTGCAAGTCAATGTGATATATTGAGTGTAGGAAGTTAATATGCTGCCAGTACAGTGATTGTATTGAAGAGTGAGAGGCGAATAAGACTACACAGTTGCTTTATTTTTTTTTGATTGTAAACGAATGAGACATAACTTTGATGATATGTGTATCGTTTGAACCATTTTTGGTCCGATTATTAGCCATCTATTAGAATTGATGTTATAAAAAATTGTAGCAGGTTCGTTGGCTCTTCAATTGCCAGGTATGTCTATATGATCCAGTACTCATTTTGGGTTGACTGACTGATTATAAGTAAATAAGTCAATATAATTACTTTTAACTAAATAAAAATTAATTAAATTTTTCCTTTTCTTAATTTTTCCTAATTAAAAATGAATTTTAAACAAATTGACTACTCATGCACAAATAGCAATTGGAATACTAAGACGTCAGTTTATAATTTTTTATTAAAGTTCGTGTTTGAGCTAATAAATAATATTACCCCATGACATAAATTTCATTAATGATCATGGATTCATAAATTGAACTTTTATTCAAATTAATTTTAAATTTAATTACCAATAAAATTAATATATTTGTTATTAAGGAAAAGTGGAATTTAAACATAATCATTAATACAAGTTGCGATACGGGTATATATGGTAGAGACATTATTTATAATTCGTGTGATATATTGAAACGTCAGCGAAACTAAAGTTAACATTTATTAATTTTTAATTAGTTTTAGACTTGCGTAAATAATTTATTATTCTAAAGCATAGAGGAAATGTCAAATACTCAAATAACCAGCTTAGCTTTAACATTTTTAATCAACTTTCTAATTAAGAAAACTACATAATTTTGGTATATCAACTAAATAACTTTTAAAATAATAACTACAAAATATGCATTTATTCTCAACTTTTTTAAATTATATTTTATAAATTATTTTATTTCAAAATTTATAATTTTGAAATAAATTTTAAAAGTTTCATTTAAAATTTTTTTCTTATATTTTTTTGATTTAAGGTAAACATAGAAGTTGTTTGCTATTCCTCAGCGTCAAGTTAATTTAATCATCAGAACTGTTTCAAGAAGGAATATTTTATTTTAATAAAAATTTGAAGCAATTTATTTGAATTTTTTAATTTAATATTATACTAAATAATATAGTAATAAATCAGTCCGTTTTCGTGACATTTTGCCCCTATGGCATTTTATTTAGAAATACACATCCTATTAAGATGAATGGAGAACTATTTGTATATGAAGGTACTCTCTAAAGACAAAGACGGCTTATAATAATGTAGAATAAAATGAAATTAAAAAATTGAAATGTGGTGAACTAGCATTGAATAATACTTAATATATACATATTGGTACCGACTTATATGTTTAATGCATCAAGCCGTTTTATAGGCATAAAGCTTTAATAATGAATATACTGTTCTAATGGAACCTCTTTCTTGACATATTACTAAGGAACTTATATTTTTATTTATTTATTTGGAATTTAATTAATATCTTAGTCTTTCGAAACTACACACCAAAATTATTTGAGGCATACCCTATGATGCTTTAATGAAGCGAATCGCTTCTGTACCAAATCTGCATCTAGTATAGCTTAGATGTTAAAAATTTCAAGAGCACTGTCCTGGACGTGTATGGAGAAAGTATTTATATCAAAAGGTGCTTGAAATTAGCTCTTTCTTGTACAGGGCACTGAAATGAATGATTTAAAGCGTATTTAAAGCACTTAGAGGTTGCTACGAATGGAGTGTTTTTTTTTATTTGCAGTCCCATATAATTCCTTTTTATTCCTGATCTGATATAACACTATCTTTGAATCTATAAATACATTTCTTTTGAACATATCGCATTATTTCTATTAAGGTTTAATATTATTAACATTATTGTTTAAATATATTACTATTTGTGTGTTAATGTTTTAATGCTTAATACAAAAGAAAGTAATTTAATAAATTTTTTTAATTCAGCAAAATAAATATATAATATTTTACCATTTAATATTTTCCCGGTATCAAATCTCTAAAGCATCATTAACTCTTCAACAAATACACTTTAAAGAAATTACAAATATTTCATTCGTACACTAAAAAAAATATGCACTGTTTTAAATATTTAAATTGCTATATGAAAAGTCTTTTTATCCATTTGTCCTTGCATATCCTTTTAGTCCTGTCTTATATGTCTTCAAGTATATTCAACTCTTCTTACTTTGTAATTATTTAGATCGTTTCGTTGTTTTTATTTTCCGTTTCGATGTTAACCGTTCAAGAATTCGCGAAGCACTGCAATCATCCAAGTTTGACTCTTGGGTATATTCCACTAATTACATTAGTGACCACAAAAATCGGTCATTGGAAGCTTACATAAACTAGTTCAAGTCACGTTTGTCTAACATCGAACACATGACTGCAAATTTGTTCTTAAGTGTAAAGAAGAGACATTAATACCTAGCTCAATTTTCCAATATTTGCACCCTGTATTTTAGGTGTTTCCGTTCTCATATGTGAACTCGTGCCTAAGCGATAACAACAATTTTGAAACTTAAATGCATTTTTCAGACATAGTTTTTCTCTTTGAAAATTATTTTCTTTACAAAAAGTTTAAAATGGACAGCTTGGAATCGATATTGGAAGCCATACCGCTTCTAACCTCGTTTATAGAAATGTGATGCTTACAAAACAAATCACTTGCACTTTCGTGCGATTATCATGCGGCATTTTCAGCGTAATTGGTAAACATTATTTACTTTATTTGCTTTAATATATATATGTATTTAATGGTATTTTACTAATATTTTGTTTATATACAATGGAACTTCCTAAGGAAGTTTCTGAAATCACCCATTGAACAATGAGAAATTGCTACAGATGGCGGCTTAATAATTAACTAATGGAATTCTCCAATCGAAATTTTGGGATTATTTAGATAATCATGACCAAATATACGATATATAACAGAAATATATAAAACATATTATACACATTTGTATGTGTGTTGTCACTGACACAGGATTTGAAATCAAATCACACTAAGGTGATATAATATATAACAAATATATAACAAATATATAATATAATATATGCAAACGACTGCATTTAAAACAAGGTGTGTCCTGGCACTAAGAGACACATTATTTGAAATCGAATCACGCAAAGGTCTGATATACAAACGCAGTTTAAAAAATATTTTAAAAATGCTTAGTGATTCCATCTTAAGAATATAACAACAAGTACTCCTAAGAATCACAAAATCTATATGGGGTTTTTTTTCATCCAGTAGCGCTAGAGATAAAATCGTCAAGGTGTGGGTACAACCAGCCAGATTAATCTAACCTTACCTAACATAAACATTCCCGAACAATTGATCTATTACGGATTGCACGAAGGAGAGTAATTATTCTCAAACAGAAATGGATTTTATGGAAAAACTTTTTTTTATTATTATTTACCTTTGTCTTTGAGTAATTTTAAAATGGTTGGAATATAATTCGTATGCAAAAGCCGACAATTAAAACTAGTGTTAATAATAGGGAAGTTCCTGGTATATACAAATGTTGATAAAAACATTGCCTAAAGGATTTTTTCCAACATCATTACTTTTTTTTGCTAGCAAATCGTTTATTATTTAAATCGATCTGAATCCTATTTAGACTTATAACAATTCATTAGAGAATTATATTTAGTAGAACTTTTGACTTACATGCTAACACCTCATATGTTACTTGTCAACGACAAAAACTATCGTATAAAGTATCGCCTAAGAACCAACCGGTAATCAGCCGATGTCTAAATTTTGTCTATTCTTATTATCAAAACCACAATACTGTCTTCATGGTACAAAATCAATAAATATTACTTAGTACTTACTTAAACACAATCTTTGCTACAAATTTATCTATAAATAATAGAATACTCAGTCCAAAAAAAAAACAATCCCATGGGAAAATATTTATGTGAAATTTTATAGACTGAAGAACATTTCATAAAATAAATTTAAAAAATATTAATTGTATGAACTGAAGAACATTATATAAAATAAATTTAAATAATATTAATTTTAGCTATATTCATTGTAAAAATATCTTTCTAAAAAAAAATTCTGTTTCTATATATATCACATTTGACCTACAGCACAATTACATATTATTGAACTCTTTCGAAAACCTTTCAGTTTACTTTTCATACTATTTTCCACCATCTTTCATTTTTTCTTATGTACCTTAGCCAGTCTTACTGCAGACATATCCATGCATACTTGGCTTGAAATGTAGACATCTATGGCTTCCTAATAACTGTGTTAGCAGTAAATTCTTTAATCACATGATGTATGTGTACTGAAATAAAAAAAAACGTGTATTTAGTTTTAGTTACAAATAAGTCTAAGAATGCTGTGTCTTCTTAATAGCTTAGTAACTAAAAACTAAATGTTGATTAGTAATAGTAAAATATGATAAAAATTTCATTGACATTTCAAACCGTTTAAAGTCATATATATAATATATATAAAATGGTTTATTTTACTAGACTGTTTTCAATTCGTATGTATTCTTATTTGTTTATATTTGTATAACAATAGTAATAGATATAGTAGCTATTACTTACTTTTTTAATTTTTTTTAAAAAAGTTTTAAAGTATTTTCGGCTAGTTACTGACAGATCACCGTCTTGTGATACCCATGCCAAAAAATTGAGCAAAAAATGCACACTTTTTTCTTAAATAGATAGGTCAAGCAATTTCAAGATATGTTTATATAGAAGTTCTCGAACTAATAAGTCTAGCGGGCATTTCAAACATAGATCTATCAAAAATAGTCTCCTTTAAAAAGTGAGCAATTTGGTTTTATTACTTACATTTTCAGTAACGGATGATTAGTAGTGAGATGGTGGAAGTTCTGCTACTATCAAAGCTCATGAACCAAGAATTACAACTATAGGAATTTTGTCAATGCTCAGAAGCTTGGCTTTGTGTTCTAAATATTTATTAGTGTTGTGATATTCTCAGACATTATTATTTGAATTTTTTCACCATTGTTTTATATCAATTTCTACTGAAACTTACTACTAATTATATTGTTTTAATTATCTGATGATTTCTTTCATACAATTTCTTAATAAACTCCAATTCCAACTATTAAAAGTTAATGAAACCTCTTCAAAATCATACCGAAACGTTTTTGAAATATAGCCTATTTATGCTGTCTAAATTTGACCAATATCCTAGTTGATGGATATATCCTACCCTTTACATAAAGGTTTTATGTGAACTACATATATATACATATATATTTTGTCGACTTTTATATAATATATAAGAAATGCTCAGATTTCCCCACGAGTTTTAAAGACTGTTCGTTTAGTTTTTACTGTAATTCTCGATATACTATTTATTTCTTGTCCGGTCTATAAAATTCTAACGTTCAATACTTCTGCCTCTACTTCTACTACTTTACATAGTGCGACACCTAAATAAGTCTATTTTTCAAAAATCATTATTGTTTTAATAGAAATATTTAAACAATTATTAAAAAATAGTTTCTTTCGTATTGTCAGTTTTATAATAAATTTAATAAAATAGGGTTTCATTTACTATATCCTATATAATCACTTTCAAACCCTATTGTTTGGTATATTTATGTGATAGTTGACGTAATCAAAGGGTAGTGCCATATGTAGATATATAGTTTTGTTTATATACGTATAATATAAATATTTTAAAGCAATCTATATAAATACTAAAAAGCTTTTTGTTAAACTTATTCCTATAAACTTATTAAGCATGCTTGTACCTTTGGTTTGTATCGAAACTAAAAGTTTTAACCGTACATGCTTAAAAGCTTTCAACAGAGCTTAATTAATAGTGAAATAAGTTAAAAAGTTATGGCTAAAGCTGCTTTCAAAAAAAGCTTATATTACCGGTTAACTTATTTAGTTAAGAGAAATTCTCTTAATTTTGCGTTTGCCCTTCATAGTGTGGCGGTTTCAATGCTCTTGAATTTTGCCAGGTGCGAAGGACCTATAATGTTTATATTCAAATTGTTTTTGTTTTCATTTTATTTATATCCTTTGAATTCGTGTTTCTTTATTTAAGGACATATTTTTGTTTTCAGTTACTACTCCACATGCTCAGTTAAAAAAAAAAACTATTTAATTGAAAAAACGATGTTAAAACTGGTGAGGTTTTTATCCTTTACTATTATTCGCGAATTATTGAACTGTCAATTGCACTTAAAATGCACTCGACACATATGAAAAATTCGAAATTATATTACCAAAGGGTTAAATAATAAAGTTAAATAAAATTAATTAAAGGAAAAATTATGCGAACGGAAAAATTTATTAAAAGGACTGTTCCTAATTTCGTGTGTTCCAATTTTATATTGAATGACTATTATAGTTGCTTATAAGTTTCTATTTAATAATAATAATAAAAATAATATAATAACATAATATAATATCATATAATATCAGGATGCACGAATCTAGCCCAAACAGAGTAAACTCCAAGCGTATGAACTACTCTACTACAGATATAATCCCCAACCAATTATGGAGAATGAAGATGTCAAGATATATTACGATCGAACAATATACTCAGACCATAAGAGGCTCCATAACCGATCCGATATCACGCTCCTTGATAAGTACGAACGTAAATGCTACTTGATTGATGTTGCAATCCCTGCTACCAGAAACATGAGCCGTACATACACAGAGAAAATTAGTAGATACACTGAGTTAGCAGTGGAAACTAAACGAAACTGGAACGTTAAGGAAATCAAGACCATTCCAATAGTAATAAGCGCTGAAGGTGTAATTTACAAACATCTCTGTGCAAACATGAGCATTTTTGGACTCATCGATACCTGTCATATTACCAGAAGTTTCATTACCTGAATTCTCATATACAATATACAATATATTTTGTTTTAAGCTAAGGCTTCCAAAATGTATTTTTTACCCATTAAAAAGAAATAAATAAATAGAAATAATAATAATATTAAGCCTTGCTCGAATGTCAATGATTTCGAGCAGTCTCTTGTACTGGGCGTAGGCTGTCTATAAGTCGCTTTCACTTTTCACGCCGCAACGCTACGTCCTTTACATCACTAATACTGCTTATTCTTCTTCCTACAGGCTGCTAAACGGTATTTATTTGATTTAACCTTAACCTTCTCCATGTTGTTTTTGGACGACCTCTACCTCTGCTACCTTGCGGATTGTATACCAATGCCTGTTAACAAATTTCGGTAC